AAAAAAAAAAAAAAAAAAAAAAAAAAAGAATAAAATAAGGTTTCTCTGTATGTGATGTTGTCCTCCATTTGTAGCAAAACCATTCCATTTAATATTGGCCAATATTCTAGTTCCATGAGATTTTTTTTATGGATAGCGTAAAGTACATGTTTTTCCAATCACTTGTGTGCAAGGGATCTAGGTGAATTATAGGACGAACACTAAAAACCTGTTCCATATCTTGTCAGAATTATTTTGTCGTGCTCACTGTCAGCGATAAACATTAAATAATTCCACTTGACATTGAATAGTGATGCTAGATGCCTTGAGACACAAGGTGCAAAGGGGAAATACAAATGCATTGTGAATGTCTAATGGCATGGTTACATTAAATGTCATATTTGGTTTGTTTTAATTTTAGGGCTAATTAAATGGTCCCATTTGAGCTATATAGAATCCACTTACATTTAGTTTTAAAAATGTTTCTTTTGCCCCTGCCCCCCGTTAACTGGTTTTATTCATTGCTTGTGATAGCCTTTCAGAATTCAAGTATATTCAGCTAAATCACTGAAAAAGAAAATGCCTATCTGAAATATAATGAAGTTGAAAATTCCACTCACATTGGATGTGTAACACAGAGATGAACAACTCTGCATTTATTTTATATTGATAAGATTTTAGTAAATGTACACTTTTCATAACCCCACCCAAGATAAGCAAACATTTTACCTCCCTTGATTTCTGGACAACGTATTATGTTGGCTCTTCTCTTACCCTTTGTTCCTTCTCTGTGCCCTTAGCTTTGATTTGGCTTCACATCTAACGTGGAGATGTGTAAAGAGAGAGATGAGTGAAGAGCCAGTAAGAAGAGTAGTGTTACTCTTAGGATAGAAAAGGTCCTCCAGTGAAATCTCTTTGTAATCCTAGAGAGCTACAAGGATATCATGCCACACTGACGTAAAGGAGCCAAATACAAAACAAAATGAAACAATACGATTCGTCCTAGAGACTTTTCAAATATAAAATCAAAGAGTTACACTAAATCCAGAGGTATGTTACTTACCATAAAATAGCATAGTATCATCCTCTAAGAAGTGAATGTTTTCTACTTAGCATTAAGCAAATTTGCAAGCAACAAGTAGAGATTAAATATAAGGTAGCGAGCTTGTCTAATGAAGGGTTTCTTAACCTTGACACTATTGACATTTTGGACAGATAATTCTTTGTTGCAGAGGGCTGTCCTGTGCACTGTAGGATGTTTAGCAGCATTTTAAGCAGGCTTTTAAAAATTTATATATCTATCCGTCTAGTAATATTTAAATATATAATATTTATATAAATATTTATATTTCTAAATATAAATATAAACTATAAGCATTTTTTAGGAGACAGAAAATCATTTTTAAAGCATCTCTTCAGGAGTTCTAGAAGTACTTTGGGTTTACTGTAATTAGAAAAGTCTTTTTTTTGCTAAAGTATAGTTGACTTAACAATATTATATTAGCTTCAGGTGTGCAACCTAGTAGTTTGACATATTTATAGACTATACTCCACACGAAGTTCTTATAAAATATTGACTATATTCCCTGTGTTGTACGTTATGTTTTTGTAACTTGTTTATTTTATATCTAGTGGTTTGTACCTCTAAATCCCCTTCACCTATCTTGCCCCTCCCCCAGCCCTCTCCCCTTGGGGAACCACTGGTGTGTTCTCTGTACCTGTGAGTCTGTTTCTATTTCTGGGTAATCAATAAATAGCAAAAAAGTTGAACAGCGTTGTCCATTCACAGTATAATTTCTAGTTATTTTTTTCTATCTTGCTCATCCGAAATTTCTAATTTTTCTACAATAAATATAAATTATATTTGTAATAAGAAATGATCTTTTAAAAGCTTGACATAAAGAGAATTTAAAATTCATGAAAAGAACTTCATTTTTCTCAGTGACTGGGGGCCTTTTAACCTTTCCTAAAGGGAAACGGCTTTTTGCAGGATAATTTATTCTCTTCTTTTCCCTGTGCTTCAGGGCGTTGTAGATATATAGGCAGAGGGTAGTAGTTTACCCTGAGTATATTGTCCATCCACCAAGTAAAAAGAATGGTCAGAAGAAAGAACTTGTCTATTTTTCCAAATTTTAAATCTTGCCCCAATTTTGATGGAGCTCTGCCAGTGTTCTGTTTGCTACTGCTCTGCTCACCTCTGTTACAGAGAAGTTTTTTGTAAGAGTCTCTACAAGGGCGGATAGTAGCCCCATTATCTAAATGGAGAAGAGAATATTTCCTTGCCAGGTATAACAGGACTCTGGGGAGGGCGTTTGGGGGGAGAATTAGTGCAAATTCACAGCAGTTAGGAGAGTTATTTAACTTTTCTTAGCATGAGCTTTCTCAGGTTGTCTGACACATGGTGCACGCGCAGTAAATGGCAGCTTCTATTATTAATGTTGCTGCTACTGTTGTGTAGCTAACCAGGTGCCCAGGAAAGAGTAAGCAGGATTTTTGTGGCATCATACAAAAGGCAAGTACTAGGAGTTGAGGTTTCTCTGAGTTGCCCATCCAGTTGAAC